TCACAAAATGTCATCGACTGAGCCCAAATCCACTCAGCTGAGTCTTCTTGGCAACCAAAACGAATACACATGTTGCAAACTATGAAGGTAACCACAGCTATGTGGAGGGAGCTGGTCCAGCTTTGGAGCAGCTTTTGCCTGATCTCAAGGGCAGCGGCCCCTCCTCCCCTGGCTGCACATCTCTGACTCCCTCTGACTGCCACTTTCCAGCTCCTTCATGGCTCCCCACTGCTCCAGACTGTGGTGGTTCATCTGAGATATCCAAACTCATTCCTTCTCCCTCCCAGGAGCGGTCCGTTGCCAAGTATCTGCCCTGCCGTTGTCCCGCTGGCCTGAGGGCTGAGTTTATCCCACCCCTGCACTCAGGCTGCAGGGGTTTCAGATCGCCCTCAGCCTCTGCGTCTGGTTTCACCCAGATGTGGGGGGAAAAGCCTCTTAAGGCTCCAACAATCCATGGCAAAAGCTCATGAGATGTGTGATAATAGGACCAAGTGAAGAAAAGAGGGATATAAAACTATAAATACCGGATAAACTTAACAAAACACACAGAAGGGAGAAAATACTTCAAAAAAAACTTTGTATTCTCTACAAAAAAATAGTTTTTTTTCTTTAACCAAACTTTCTACTCCATGCAACATCATTTTTATAATTCAAAAAGGTGGGTCACTAGAAATGTTGAAATAAATCATGGTATGTTCAGAAAAAGATTAGGGGGAAAAAAAGAAAAATGAGGATTATTTCTGAGTTGTTCTAATTTTATTAAGTAATTAACATTAAATTTTCTTCCCTCTATCCTGTTCTGCTTGCCAAAATTTTTCCAATGAAAAACTATTACGCTTATGATAAAACACTACTTCTTTTATCTCTCTCAGGAAGATCTCTCATTCATCTATCTCTGGAGAGAAAATTAAAAAGCTACTTCTGAAAGTCTTCCCTGGTACCATTTCCAGTGGTACCCCAGTGGGAACCTAAGTGATACCCCAGTGGGAACCTAAGTGATACCTCAGTTGAAACCTATGAGAAAAAAGTTCCTTCATAATGACATCAGCCTTTCTTTAAAAAAAAAAAAAAAGCCTCTAAAAGTCAGGAAAAACACAGTTGATGTGAATCATATGTCTGAGTGGCCGAGTTCCCACTAAGCTGGGAGAGTGCACAGATGTACAGGACAGAAATTCAATCTCACACAGCAACTATACCTTGGGGAGCTCTGGAAGGTAATGGGCCCCACCCTTGTCAATGTCCCTGCCTGGAAAAAGACTGTCTATGAGTTCCCATTTCCCTACCTCTTCATCCTTCAGTCGCCCATCTTTCTTCTTTCTAACTCTCTCCTTGTCAAAAAGGAACAGTTGGGCCGGCCGAGTGGCGCGATGGTTAAGAACTGTCTTGGGACGCCAGAGGGCCCTGGTTCGGATCCCACATATGAGGGCCGGTGACACTGCCCTCTACAGCTAAGATGCTGAAAAACAGCTCAACCTGGAGCTGGGCTGCTATGAGTCGCTGGCACCGGCGTAGGCTGCAGCCTCTGTGGCAGTGGGTTGCCATGGGCTACCATGTGTGGCCAGCAGCCAGCGTGAGCGGCCAGCAGCCAGCGTGAGCGGCCAGCAGCAACCGTGAGCGGCCGTCCAGAGGCCAGCGACTGATCTGCCTTGCCCGGGAAGAGTGTAATGATGGTGCCAACTTGGGCCAGTGAAGCAACGTCCTCCACAACTAGACTGAAGAACAAAACGACAGCAACTTGTCTGTTCTCCTTCCCCCAATTCCCCAGCGCTGTTCCCATCCCTCCAATTCCCCAATAAAAATCTTTAAAAAGAAAAAAAAAAGATCGTGGTTAACTGCTCAAATGCACAAATCACCTTTTTCAGTAATTTCTTTTTGTGAGGGTTAANACTTGGGCCAGTGAAGCAACGTCCTCCACAACTAGACTGAAGAACAAAACGACAGCAACTTGTCTGTTCCCCTTCCCCCAGTTCCCCAGCGCTGTTCTTATCCCCCCAGTTCCCCAAAAAATCTTTTAAAAAAAAAAAGGAACAGGAACTGACAATAATCATTTGCATTTGTTAACTGATAGATTACACTTTAGCAGAAGACCTAATATCTTAACTAGTCGTTTGCATTTTAAAACTCCCGTCTTGCAGTTATGGAAGGAAAAACCTCTTCTAAAGGAATTTCAGGTAGCCAGCAGGTGTGGTAATGTTTGTTTCAAGGGGAGAAGGGGATGAGTCCTAAAAGTAAATCTGATTTAGACCTGGGACCAAGGAGGAGTGGAGTCAGAAGGAGAGGGTCTGGGCTGTTCTCCATGTGGGCTCCCTGCTCCCCTGGGAAGACAACCTGGGGCTGATCTGGTTCCAGCTGCAGAAGCTGCTGGGGAGAATAAGGCATCTTTTGTCCTCCAACATCTAGAGTCTGCCCTTCCAGGATGAGTTCACCAGGTACCTCCCTCCATCACCTTTCCTTGCTCCCCTTCTTTCACATGAACCCCTTTCCTGAGCATTTCCATGAGCCTATCTGCATTTTCCGCATGTTGCTTTAGGTGGTGTTCAGTGAGATTTTCAAACTACAGCTCTACTGGCCAACCTCTGCTGCCCACATGAGAACAGGACAACAGCCAGGGCCACCCAATACCCATCACCTGAGGACCTGGAATCCCACTGGTGGACTTTAGTCAATTTGCTTAAAATCATATCACTGAATGCCAATTTGCCAACTTCTCTGAATAGGTGACAATTTTTTCAAAATGTCTGGGGTTTTCCCTCCCCTGCCATTTTAAATACAAAGGGTCAGATTTCCTTTAAGTGCAATCTCCTGCTTTCCCTGTTTGTGTAGTCATGCATGTGCTCCAGCTCCAGAGTTTATCATACAAATACCCTCAACTGGGTCAAGGACAGATATCACAGCCACTCCACATGTGGGGACAGAGGTACTGCAGGGGCAGGACCCAGAGTTGGGGCAGGGCTGGGGCTGGAGCTAAGCAAACTAAAACTTGGAAAAACACTCAGTGAGTTATTAATACCAGTTATTCAGGGGTTGGAATTCTTTCTAACAGGTGAATTTTTCGTTATTTCTCACACAGTTGTGTATTACTATAATTGTTCACGATGATTTAGTTTTGTTATGATGAGCAAAAATAATTCTGGAAGCCTTTGTTCCTGAAACCATATATTAAAACCAAATAATGTTAAAAGGGTGGGCTTATTCTCAGAACTCTAATCATTAACAGTCCTTAAGAATCCCTCCCCTTTTGTCATCTTTAACAATGTATTTCCAGTATTCCACATCTATTCGCTATGTTTTTTCCCTTCGTACATCATCTCTGACTAACCTAAAGTCTGATGAGCCAAAATGTGTCCCTTCCAGCATGCCTGGAGAACTCCCTCCTTGTCCCAATTGTATTACTTTATGAGAACTCCCCTTTCTGCCACTTTCGTTGTGTCAGAAGTGTCACACTTTTGTTTTTCCATTTCCCATTATTTTCATAAAAGACTAAGAGCGAAATGTAATAAAACAGTTGTTCTGAAACTTTTTTGAAAGCAACCAATTCTTTAGAAAGCAAACTTTCCAGGAAGTGGAGCAGCCAACATGGAAGTAGAGTTGGGGGGACCAGGACTCCCCCTCCCAGTAAGCACCTGGGCTGCGCCACTCTCCCCAACCCCCATTTTTCCCTCTGCCTGAAGGCACCTTCACACATCTGAGTCAGGGTTTGAAAACTACGTTCTTAAGTCATTACTGTAAATTATTCAAATATCTGCTCAGACACTGCTCTGGTTGACTTGGCCTAAAGTGAACCGATGGCTGGCAGCAGCGCCACCATATGATAGCTCACAGTGGCTGTTCCTCACCTGACATACTAAAATTCGGATGTGGCAAATTAAAGGTGGCAAAGGGGTGTCACTGCCGAATACATAAAAGGTGTTCACAAGTAGAAAGTGGCAAAGTGGAAGGCTATGCGAAGGGGTTTTCTCGTAAAAAAACCAGGTACATCAGAGCCACCCCCATTTCTCCTCCAGCCATAGAGCCTTTGTGTATCACCCTCCCGCTCCCCCTCAAGCTCAGAGGCCCAGTGAAACCCTCTATAGAGTAGAAGGCCTGACTGACCCAGGGTTAGAGAGCAAATTTTAAATCCTACCAGCAACCATTTAGAGACACTAAAATACTCTACCCAGGAAAATGGGCCTCTCCTTGGGTGGTGGTGGTGGTGGTGGGGTTTTTTGGTGGGGGGAAGGGGAGGGGTTGCTTTTTAGAAAGAGGAAGGACCTCTGAGGTGGTGCAGTTGTTTGAAGCGGAATGGACAGGGTGCCCTCTTGAGGTCTCTGCAGGTTGGGTCTTCCAAGTTGTCTGACGTGTCACTCACACTGGGCAGGGCTGGACTTGTGCTGTCACTATAACACCTCCCCAGGACTCAGCAGGGCCTGGGCCCGGCCAACTTTGGCTGGAATGCAGGCTATGAGGGGGAAGGTGTTTCAAGGACTGTTGTCTAAGGAGAGCAATGGTCTGCCTGGACCTATTAGCTGTTCATTCCTTTGCTCAACTGACATCCACTGATGCTGCTCTGAAGCCCTGCTGGGTGCCTGAGGGGCAGTAAACCCCTGCCTCTCAGAGCCCAACAAGCCGCCCTGTGGACGCTCACTACTTCTACCCTTCCTCTTCGTCTTGTGAGCATCAGTAGCAAACTCATGTTAAATCTAAAGATCAAAATTTCCCTTCACAACACTTCTTCCCACCAAATTCCCTCACCAGGGAAGACAACACTGTCAGCACATCCATTTCCGGGCCAAGTCCTCCATCACACCACACCTGGTACTATACTTGGTTCCCTGCATTTAGCCCCATGTCGATCCTGCTGCTTTTTCTTCCCTATCTGACCCTCACAATCCCCCTGCTGACAGCCAGGGCTCTAAGCCAAGTCCAGTCATCCCCAACCTCATCATCCCCTCGTCCCCAGCCTGGCCGCCCCACTCCCCCAGGCAGTCAGCAGACTATCACGAAAACATAACTGAAACCCAATGCCGCTGTCCTCCCCAGAGTTCTCCCGGCCTGTCTTTTCAAACTAGCTCCCGGAATCCTACCTCAGCTAGAATGCCTTTCCCACAAATATGTGTCATGCACTGAGCTGCGTGATCGAATCCTGTGAGAGAGAGATGTTTTACAGAAAGGAAACAGGGACTTGCAGAAGTTTAATAACTCAGCTATTAACAGCAGGGCTGGCACCTGATGCTCCAATAGGTTAAGACAATAACTACTCAAGCACACACAGCATGCCTAACCCTAAATATTGGATAGTCGGAAAAGTCATGATGTACTTTTTCTATGTTTTTCGTTGTAAAAATGCGTCATGACTTTTCCGACAACCCAATAGAAGGCTATGGTTTCCCTTCCCTACTCCTCTACTCTAGGTCATAAAACTCCAGACTCATTTTATCCCATATTATTTATACAAAAGATAGATCTGCATGTACATATATTTGGTAGCTCTCTATCCTGATACTTTTATTTCCCTTGAGCCGGCGAGGTCCGTGGGAATGCTGGTGGCAGGAATGAGGAGAAAGGGGTGAGGGATCTTCTCTTATTCTGTACATCACTTGGTCCCACGATAAGCTCAGCCAACAACTGGACCAGGGCTGATTCCAATCCACTCTGATCCAGACTTGCCCAAAACTGGTCTAGAACACAATCAGTTTCCAGGAAGGAAAAATAACAGGAAGTGTTTATCTCATTGTAGTCAAAGAAGGTAGAGGCTGGTTACATTTTTCTCCTTTTGAAGCAACTTCAAACATGGAGTCAGCAGAAAGGCCTGTCGAGGGTTTTTTTGGCCAGTGGAAACTAAGCTTACATCTAAATCCTGCTTCAGGTTGCCTTTGTTCTGGAGGCTCTAGTCCATCTCAAAGCCAGCCCCACGCCCCTCTGCAGACTCCAGCCAGGCGTGCCAGCCAACTGCGGCAGCACCCTACTCCCCAAGGCTCCGAGGGAAGCCCCCGGAGCCAGAGCGCCTCTTTCCCCTCTTACTCTCCGACCTTCTCCACTGGGGCCCCCTCAGGCCCCTGGCCACAAAAAAAAACAGCCTTTAGCTCAAAGACTGAAAAAAAAAAAAGTTTTAATAAATACAAAAATCTTCAATAATGACTCTGCTCAGCTCAGGGGCAGCAGGAGTGAAGTGGGGGGACCCTTGGTGCTGAGTGAGGATAAATTAAAAATCCCAACAAGCCAGTGACATTATATACAGAAGGAAAGGGCTTGGGCTTCCAAGGCAGAGGCCAGCAGGTAACAGGACAGGAGTTGGAGTGGACATGGCCTTGGTCTGCCCTGGTTGCCCCTGGCCCTTGTGGAGTTGTGGTTCCCAGAGGTAGTAGGGGAGGCAGAAGAGGCAGAAAAAAGGAGCCAAAGGCACTGGATTCCCCACAGGAGACTGCAGGGTCCTCGGCACTCCTCCTTCCCCCAGCCCAGGCCCCGTCCTCTTGGTCGTGCGGCCTTCTGGCTGCTGTCTAGGAGCCTGCGGCTTCTTTTTCCAGCTCTGGAACTGTCCTGGTCTCAGGGTCTGCTGGAGACAGAAGGAAGTGAACTGGAGGAGGAGACAAGAGGAGATGAATGGGGTGGCACAGAGGGCCCAGCAGAGCACCTCTGTTATGGTCCCAGAAAGATCAGTTTTCTAAACAAGTCAGCACACACCAGCTGTTGACCTTGGTCTAACTGCCTAGTTCCTCTGAGCTTCAGAAGTCTCCTTCGTAAAGAAAAAGTAATCCATAGAAGTCTACAAGGTTGCTGTGAGGGCGGAATGGAATGACACTTGTGACGCAGACAGTGCTGCTCCTGTCACACGGCAGGTGCTCCCTTCCCGCCCCAGGCATCCCGCGGTCAGCTCAAAGCTGCTGCCCCTGGACCCCGTCACTTACACCGCCGGGGTGTGCAGTGGGAACAGCAGCGACTCTCCTTCCCTGGGCCGCAGGACAGTGGCAGCGAACAATCATCCCGCTCACAGTGGGGCACCCCTGCCTGGTGCAGGACAGAGCAGACCCTGAGGGTCCCCAGAAGCACTGGGGCACAGCGGCCTTCAGCTTCTTTGGGGAGGCCTGTTCCCAGGAGCCTGCCCTTCCTGGGAAGGTCTCCCCACTCCAGGCCAGGCCCCCAATGCCCACCTCACACAAGGCCCCCACTCCCCACTTACCCCACATCTGCAGGTGATGCAGCTCATCTCCCCAAAGGGGGGCACTGAGGGGTGCCAGCTCTGACTCTCCGGAAACCACTGCCCTGCAAAACGGCAGCCCCTGGGCCCATCAGCCTGCATGGGGTCCCCCAGTTGGGGGTGGGCCCCTGACCCCACTGTTGGAAGAGAGACAGGAAGGGAAGGAGGAACAACAGGTCAGCAGATATGAGCTCTGTGAGGGCCACCCAGGTTTTATTTGTCTTTGAATATCTAGCACGTAGCAGTTTCTGGCACTTAGTAGGTGATAAATCTGAATAGATGGGTGGATGGATAGATAGATGGATGATGGGTGATGGGTGATGGATGGAGGATGGATGGATGGATGGATGGATGGATGGATGGATGGATGGATGTTTGGATGTTTGGATGGATGGATGTGGACGGGGCAGGAACTAGAATCCATCATAGCCTGCTAATAATACATGCACATTCTTTCCACTGTGTTTAGAGCCCTGGCTCCAGGCTAGAAACAGAGCAGTGCTCAGTAAATGCTGAATTAGCTGAGAAGTCCCTTCCACCCACCCTCACTATTCATCCCCTCACCCAGAAGAAGGCAGTGAAGGGCCTTATCTGCCCCTAAGAGGCCTCAGTGCCTACCCCCCTCACCTGGACACTGTTTGCAGCAGTCAGTGGGGTTGGCGCGGACAGGCTGGGCACAGGCCAGCCGGGGACACTGCACCTTCTCACAGTGCACCTCTCCAGTGTCCCCCTGTAGGGATCCATTGTGTGAGGGGTGTCAGGAAGGAGGGGGAGCACATAAGCCTCCTGCTTCTTCCTTCTCCTTCCCCATACCTCAAGTAACATATCCATGGCCTTATACTCAGAAGCCCTGGGTTGGTGCCTTAGATACCTGAACTCAATCATCATTGTAGCCCTGTAAGGTAGGTGCTATCACATCTGCTTACTGGAGAGGAAGATGCAGCTCAGGGAGGTACAGAAAGTGCCTGGGATTACATGGAGCTAGTCAGCTGGCAGAGCCAGACTTCATACCAGGTCAGGAAGCCAACTTGCCCTTGCCCTTTTCCTACAGGGAGCCAACTCTCAAAGCCCATATTATATTGATCCTTGAGCCCTCCTCACCAAGGCTGGGCTTCTCTCTCCTGGAAGCCTCCTTCCCATCTCTACAGACTCAGCGGGGTTATGGCACTGGAAAAAATTGAACAGCCATACCTTGCAGGTGCAGACTGCACACTTAATTAAGCCAAATGGGGGCACGACAGGGTGCCATCGGGTACCCGCTGCCCGCCAACTCCGGTCACCATCAAAATAGCAGCCTGGTGGGGGACAGTGCCCAGCTTCCATTAGTACTGAGCTCATTGGCTGGATCCACAACCAAGGCTTGAGTCTCAGGCCAATCCCACACCATCTAACCCCAGGGCCCATTCATGGGCTAGCAATGCTATGAAGCCTCTCAGGTGCCACTGAAACCTGTGCCCCTCAGCCTTTGTCCCCACCCACATACACTCTCACCCTCCTGTCACCCCCAAGGTCCCACACACAGTTCCTCTGGGTTCCCCACCCCAGCTCATATACTGCCAGCTCACCCTCTCCAGGGTCCCTGCTCCTCGGCAGTCCCAGCAGGTCTCTGACATCTTGTTTCTCTGTGGAGCCAAAGAAATAGTGAAGGCAGAGGGTGTCCCCACTCCTTTCCTCCCTAGAGGCCTCATCCCCTACCGGTGGAACCTCCATGACCCTTTACACCCTTGCAGGGCACTCACCCGGACACACAGGGCAGCACTGGTCCGGCGCCTGCACTGGACTCAGGCAGCTGGGCGGTGGGCACACCACTGGGTCACAAATCACCGTGCGTCTCTGCAGGGGGAGGTGGGGGGTTGACTGGGGACCCTTTACCCTGAATCCAGGCCCCAGTGCACCCTTCCAAGGCCTCCTACCTGGCAGGTGCAGAGCGAGCAGAGCGGGTCGTAGTTAGGTGCCCAGCGAGCCCCATGGGGGCGCTGCTGCCCCTCGAAGAAGCAGGTGTTGGGGTCTCGGGCTCGCCAGGGGCTGCCGGGTTTGGCAGGCACTGGGGCATCAGGGCCGAGCACAGTGGGCAACACAGGCAGTGCAGCTGCCACTGCATCGGAAGCACCAGGCTTCCGCGCACCCTGGGCCCCTGCCTCCGCCAGGCGCAGGCCTGCCACCTCGCATTGATTGGCGATGTGCACCTAAGAGGAGGGGCAGGCTGAGGCAGCGCCCCGGAGTCCTCCATGTGTCTCCATCAGCAGCAGCCAGACTGTCAGCCCAACCAGCCAGAAATACCTCGTCCCCTGAGTGCCCCTGAGCCCCAGGAAGATGCTACTAGCCACAGCAATCATCCCGGCTGCCAGGGACAGGGTGGTCTGCTGCCAGCCTCGTTTTTTATGTACTTCGTATGACCATCCTCCCAGGCAGCCAGGGAATGTGACACTACCACCACCAGGGCTCGGAGAGAGCAAGTGACTAACGCAGGGGCACACAGTGCCAGCTCAACTCTGACCCATCCCCAAGGGCCCACCCTACCTGCCTACCTGCCCTCGCAACTCCCCTTGGGGGCTCCCCTTGGTGGTGATCAGTAGGGCAGTAGTGCCCAGTGCCAGGTGCCGCAGCAGTTCAGGCTCCAGGTCCTTCACCACACCCTGGGCCTGCGAGTAGAGAAGATAAGGGACGGGAACAAGGCACTCTAGGGCTAAGCTTACCATTTCCAATTTACAGACGATGAAACAGACTCAGGGAGGTTAAATAAGGTCTCCAGGGTAGCAAAGTCCATTAGTGATGCTGTAGAGCTCAGAAGCCCAGTCTTTCTGTTGCTAAGTTTATGACAACCTACCCCAGGTCATCAGGAGGCTTGGTCATCTCACCTACCCCTCTGGAGGTCCAGGATATTACATACTATCTAAGGGATCCCACCAGAGAAGGATGCAGGAAGGAGAATGGATGATAAAAGTTTGAGTCAGATTCTCAGCCAGATCTGTCTAACTCCTGAGCCCACGCGAGCTGGGCCACACCAGGTAGCCTACTCGCTGCCTCCCCAGCCACAGACCAACACAAACCTTCATGCTAAAAAGCAGGTATTTTCCAAGCTGCCTCCCACCATCACATCCTCACCTCTGGGCCATAGAACCCCTTCAGCAGCCGCCGGGGCCCTGGCATCCCAGGGGGCCCAAGGAGGTGGGCAGTGACGGTACCCTGTTCTGAGCCACCAAGCCCAGCCAGCAGCACTTCATAGTGCAGATGACAGTGGGTATCCAGGGAAAGCCAGGCATGCCCTGCTGCCTGGCTCTGCACAGGGGGCAACACCAGGGCTCCTGCCAGGGGCACGGGCAGTGCTGGATCCAGACAGAGAAGAGATAACAGATAAGAAGATGGCCTACAGCAGCCACTCAATCCCAGCATTCCCCGTGTTCCCCAGCACAGACTCCACAAGCTGGCAGATGCTGTCCATAGGCCCAGGGCAGGGAGAGCAGAAAGTTTTAGACCCTGACAACAAGGAGGATCTCCCAGCAGGGCCACCCTATACATTCCCACCTATACATCTCCAGATGCAAACCTAGGGCTCAGGCACAGAGAAAGGCACACCAGGCTCTGGCCCTCTGGTACCTTCCCTCACATGCTTGAGTCCCTGGTTAGAGGATAGCAAAGGGCAAGCAGACCCCTGGGGCACTCACTATCATGGCGGGCGCTGTGCCCACTGTAGGGCAGGGCAGCCACATGCCCCCGCAGCTCTCCATCTGGGAAGTCCTTGGTGGCCACATTCAGGAACAGTTCATTCTGCAGCAGCATATGAGCCCCACGGGCTCCCAGCCCAGGGCAAACACCCACGGCCTGCAGGGGCAGAGAAGCGTGAGCCCGAGCTGCAGCCTGCCAGGTCCCAGATGAACCCCTCCTCAGCTTTCATACAAGCCCAAGATTTTAAAGCCTTTCCATGTTTTGTGCCCCCTACTACATCCATGCACACTTCCACAAACCAATAATACTGGATAAGAACCTTATAGGCCCAGGTTCAAGTCCCTTCTCTGCCACTTCCTTCCTATGTAACAATCTTGAAGAGTTACTTAACCTCTCTGACCCTTCACTTCATCTTCTCTGAAATGGGTACTGAGAGCCAAAAATAATATTAGTAAAGCAACCAGTGCAGTATGTAGCAGATAGAAAGGCTCACTAAATAGCAGCCGTTGCTATCACAATTGTTACTGTTTGAGCTCCTGCACTGGCCTCCCTGTCTAACACCTCCCACTTGATATGAGCTTGCTGAGGACAGGGGCCACATCTGATTTCCTTTGTACTCCAGTCACTGGCCTGAGGCTCACTACAAATGTGTCCAGTGCATCCAGGTATCAAAGAGAGAGCCTATGAATGAGTGAATGATGCTGAACATCCCTGCTCATCCAACTCGGTTTCCCACAGCACCCCCATTGTCAGCGACAGTACATGGATCCTGCGGCCCAGCTCTGCCTGCAACACTCACCATCTGTCCTCCAGGCTGGAGTCCAGCCATGTGGCACAGGACAGTGCGCTGGTCCTTCCTCTGAGGCTTGGTCTCCAGCGTCATGGCCACCACCTCACTGCCTGTACCTACCACTTGCACCTGGTGGACAGGGTTGGGGAGGCTGCATTGGAATGGCAGAGAAGGCCTGGGGCCTGAACCATTACAGCCCAAAGCTCTATCCCACCCTGTTGCCCTCCCATCTCCTGCAGCCTCTGACTCTTACCTGGTAGATCAGGGAGCCATTTCCTAGCAGTGTAAGAATGGCTGAGCCAGCTGCACCCGTCTGAACTGGGACCAGGGTATCGGCCCCACAAAGGACACTTTGCAGGACTGCAGAGGAGCAAGACAAGTGGAAGCAGGCTGGCCCCATGGCCACTCAGACCCCCAGCCCCCAGGATCCCTCGCATACCCACGCTGGCCCGCCCCTGGCACTTGTCTGTGCCTCTAAGTTATGTGTACTCGGGGTGCCAGGCCCTACCCTGCCTCACCATCACAGCTCTGCCTGGCAGCAATGTGTCCACTGATACGCAGCCCTGGCCCACTTGCCCTCTCCAGGGCTATCTGCAGCTCCCCCAGCACCAGCCAGTCCATCTCCTGGGCTGTCAGGTTGGGCAGCACCTCAGCGAAGCCTGGTTCCTGGAGACAGAGCAGGGTATGGTGGGTGCAGCTCCAGGCCAGAGCAGGTGACAGCAAAAGCCAGACCTTCACTCACCTGGGCTGAGGCATTGGCCTGGAGCTCTCGCAATAGCTGCCCCTGGTGTAGAATCTGGAGCCGCAAAGGGACCTGGGCTGGTCCTGCAACAATGGCACTTGTGGACACCTCTGAGAGCTAGGTGTTCTCCCTACCCTTCTTACGTGCCCTTCCCATATCCCACTTACCCCCACTCCTGGATTCCAGCAGCCCACGGAAGAGCAGCAAGAAATGCAAGGAGTCCTCTGTGTCGCTGAGCGTGAGTAGGGCGATACCCCCTATACCCTGCTGTGGGGGGCCTTCCAGGGTCAGGATGGCACTGAAGGTCTCTGGGGAAGGGAGGACCATGAGAGCCCATCAGAAAGTCCCCTCCTCAGCCCCTTCCACTCCTGGAGATAGAGAAGACAGAATTTTATGCCCAGGGGCTGTTTGCTCCCCTCACCTGCAGCCAAGGCCCGGTGCCGGACAAGAGGTCCCCAGACCTCCCCTGAAGGATGAGTGGGTGTCACAAGTGCCACATGCAGCTGTTCTGCCCTAAGGAGCCGCAGAGACAACCGAGGCACTGCTCGCCACACCCCACAGACCTGGAGCAGGGAGACAAGAAGGTCCTACTCAGACAGTATGTATGCAGGATAGGCCAGCTAAGAGGCCCAGCTCTGGTGAGAAAGGAATATGGGAAGGAGCCCCAGGCCCTCCTAGGAAGCTTCAGAAGAGACCCTGGATCCAGGTGCTGGGGTCCAAAGCCTGGCTTCACCACTTACTAGCTGTGTGATCTTGAGCAAATCACATTCTGTTACTGAGCCTCAGTTCCCTCATCTGTAAAATGGGCATCATAATGTCAGTGACTTCCTCTCACTGGGCTGTTGTGAGGACCAAAGGAGGCAATACAGAGCATTCTCAGCACAGTGCCCAAGACTGGTTAAACACTCATAAATGGCATCATCTCACCAGGCCATCTTGGGTGGGGGCTGCAGGGTGTTCAAACAGGACGTTGCCAGTGGAGTCTGAGAAGCGGATCCGGGTGAGACGGTCCAGCCTGGGAAAGAGGGTCCAGTGAGCACCGACTTTGAGCCTGGGCTCGAGCCAGCCCCTCCAGCTTTTCTCCCAGTTCTCCCGCCTCCGGTGCCCAGCCAACACCTCCTCCCTCCTTCCCCTTTCTCACTGCCGATAGGAGATGGAGAAACGCAGGCTAGAGCGCAGCAGCGACACTCGGGCTCGTGCCACAGCCTGCGACCTCGGCCCAGTCAGCAGCGCCACAAAGTCTGCAAAATGAGAAATATGTCCCTAGTACTGTCACCTGCTGTGGCAGCCGGGCCAAACTCACTACTCCCGACGCTGCCTGGTTCCTGCCTACCCGTGTGGCCATCTCCACGAGACCTGTCTTCAGCGCCCGGCTCCCCGCGGTCGCTGTAGCTGCGGTGCTCTGGGTCGCGCGGATACTCGAAGGCCAAGCCCATCGGCTGCCTCTCAGGACCGCTGCGCTCTGCGCCGAGGGTGGGGGACACGGGCTTCAGTTGGGCACTGGGAAGGCCGGTTGGCCGCTCCATCCATTCCATCTGCCCAATCCACGGGGCTCAGGACCAAGTACCGTGGTCCTGCCGCCCTCCCCTCACCATGGAACGGGCCTTACCCTGGGGGCAGGTCTGGCAGCAGTGTCCCGGCAGCTGGCGCGGCTGTCCGCAGGACAATGTTGGGCACTCGGGTTTAATGTTCTTGCAGCTGACCCTGCCCAGGCCCCTCCCGCGGCGACCCCACTGAGGCTGCTCGCGGAGAAAACGGGAAAACCAAGTGAGTGCAAGACACCAATCCGTGAGACCCAAGAACGAGAGGGGGAGTCACAGCACCAAGGCAAGGTGTTCCCACGGAGGCAGACCGTTCTGGTACTTACAAGCTGCGGGAACCTACACAAGTTACTTAAACTCTCTGGATCCTGGGGTCCCTATCTGAAAAATGGGGATAATAATAGTATCTATCTAAACTAAGTTGTTCTAGGAGTTAAGTGAGAGACGGATGAAATGGAGCTGTCAAAGAGCCTGACAGTGGACGATCAGTAATAGTCAACACCCGAGACTTTGAAGGGGGAGCTTCCAGGAAAACATCCCGAATATCTGCAGGCTCGCTTCTTTCTCCTTCTAGTCCACTCCAACGTCCCAGAATCCCAGCGCTACCCCACCGCCGTTGAGTCCACTCACCGTCTCACAGGCGCACAGCACGCAACGCATCACCCCGAAGGGCTCCCCCAGGTCTGGGTGCCACGTCTCGTCCAAGGCATAGACCTTCCCGCCGAAGGAGCAGCCTGCCGGGACGGGCTTGGCTGGCAGCCGCTGTCCCACTCCTGCAGTGTGCCCGGCCCGGGCGCTGCCGGCCCGGCCCTAGGTCCCCCGCCACTACGCGCCTCGCGCGGCCCCCGCCCACCCCTACAGGCCGCCGGCCGCGCGGAGCCACCTGCGCCCCGCGCCCCCTCCGGGCCGGCGCTGACTTGCCCCAAGCCGGACTCCCCGCCCGCACCTCCCTAGGGTGCCCACCTACCTGCCGCTCCCCGAATGGGCAGTGGCTCCTTCTCGGGCCGGATGGGCAGCGCAGGGAGCTCGGGGCCGGCGCCGCGGGTCGGCCGGGGGCCGAGCAGCAGCAGCCCGAGGAGCAGCAGCGGGGCTGGCGGGGCCGGCAGGCTCGGCATGACGCGAACGGGACAGCTGGGGAGGAGGGCGGGAGGGAGGAGTGAGCAGGAGAGGGAGGAGGGAGTGGGAGGAGGGCCGGGCCCGGGGCGGTGCGGCGGGAGGGGGCCGGGGCCAGGGCCCCGGCAGTGTGAGGGGTTCGTCGGGCGGCGGCGGAGTCGGCGCGGCGCCGGCCCGGCAGGGCGGGAGGAGCGGCCGGGAGGAGCGCGGGCAAGCGGGCGGGCGCTGACCCGGGCCGTACGCGGCTCTAGTGCCCCGGGCGCCGGCTCTGGCCCGTTTTATGCCCAGCGCCCCGCACCCCGGTCGGGGGCCTCCTCCTCAGCAAACGGGGCGGCAGCGGCGGCTCGGCGAGGGGCCGGGCTGAACCCGGGGGGTCCGGCCCAGCAGCCGCGGCCC